AGCAAAGTTTATTTTATAAAATATAATTACCATTTTATTTTACAAGTTTACTTTAAAAAAATAAGTAAGTTTACTTTAGGGTAAACAGGAACTCTTCAGTTTCTTACATACATATATTAATTCCAAGCAATCTTATTTTTCATTATTTCTTCAAAGAATCAAAGTTCTACAGAATTCAAATGTACACAACAGAAAAAAAATTAAAAAAAAAATAAAGGGTAAGTCAGAGGACCTCTGCAACAAACTTTGACAAATTGTTTGGAAGGTCATTCTGAGTAAAAAATGTTATATGAACACAGGTCCTATTCTTAATATGTACATAGTTACAGAAGTTGTAAAATTTAGGTGACATGTACAGTTATGAAATGAATTATGCATTTATTTCTTCAAGTATCCTTGCGGACAGTTTACAGGAGTTGTTCAAAGTGTTTATTCTGAATCTGATTACACCATCACTGATTACACCATTTGATTACATTTTATTACACCATCGTAGCAGTGATTGTCAAATTCTGTCGAACATTTGAGGTCTGTAAATATTAAGAATAGGATCTATATTCATATGACATTTTTTAATCAGAATGACTTTCCAAACAATCTGTCTAAGTTTGTTGCAGAGGATCCTTACTCACCCTGTATATGGCAGTGTAAAATGTCAATATATTTTGTATTACAGAGAACAATTGATATTCTACGCGAATATTCATGGTGATAATCGCAGCAATGAAGATCAGCTATCGGAGTAGAATAAAGAAAATGAAGCACTCATGTTTGAATCCTTTGAATCACAGGAATATGATCAGAATGAATCACAATCGCAGGAGTACGATAAAAAAGGAAAGAAGAGTAGCGGTAAATCTGTTTTAATAAAGCATTTACGACTATTCATAGCACTATGATAATGTACTATAAAATATGGTATTTGTTATATTCGAGCAGAAAATTAATACGATACGAAACGAAGAATGATACGTTAATAAATATAATCTAAATATGTTATTAACAAATAAAATACATACAATATATATGTATAATAGAATATATATAAATATAATATAAATGAAATAAATATAATATGAAAAATGTAATATAAAATATAAAAGATTTTTTAAAATCTTTGACTTCACAAAATTTTTACATTATTGTAATACCTACTAATAGGTTTACTGGTGCTATAATGTAGGTGCTGTATTGTATTAATCATTAAACAACGTGATTTTCAGATTATTGGAGCAATTCAGGAACATCGTTTCTTCTCGATAAATATGAAACATATATGTCGGATATTGGTCCCATGAAAAAATTCAAAACTAAAAAATTGATGTGGGCGCAAATTTCAAAAGATATGCTGACGATGTTGGACGTATTAAAAACTCCTCTTCAAGTTGAAAATCGGTATAAAACCGTTCTCAAAAGGAAAAAAAAAGCAGTTGAGAACAACTCTAAATCAGGCAGCTCTAGAGAGGATGTACCATTCGAAGAAGAATTGCCTAAAATTGCTCATTCGGACGATAGTATTGAGCCCGAGGTGTTGCTAAATGCAAGGAGCGTTAAATATCCTAAATTGAATACAAGAATGTCGGAAGAAATCTGCAATGATAGTGCCTCTACACATTCTATTGATAGCTCACCACCGAAGACAAAAAAATCGAAACCAAGTGATATTGATAAAAGGATGGAATACTGGAAAAATAAAGAAGCGGCAAAAGAAAGACGTCACCAAGAAAAGTTGAATTTAATACGGGAGTTGTTCGCCAAACAAAAGTAGCGGGAACTAAAGTAAGATGATACAGAAACAAGCAAATATTAAAAAAAACCAAAGAAAGACTAATGTAAAATCAGCCTGAACCATATGTTAATATGAAAGTTCCTAACTAAAACGCTGGATGTGATATATAATTTTAATTATTTTTTTTTCTCTTATAATTTTGTACGTTTACTAATTGTATGTCTTTGTTTTTAATATTACTGGTTTTTAATATTAGCGTATGCATATTTTGATTTTCGCACTTTACGAAAGATATAGTACTGCTCAGACTATTAAGTATGAACCAGTATAAAATAAACTTATTGTGTTATTTAATTTTAAAACAGTGTTATTTAATTTTACAATCAAACTTTTTGAAAAAGCGTGTATGTTAAAAAATTACATGTTTATGAAATAAATAAGAGATATAATATATGAATTTTGAAAAAATAATCAATATGTACGTGTTATAAAAAAAATATGCTTTGTTTTTATATGTTTTGCTTTTTATTGGAAAGTATGTACTTATTTGCCACAAGACAAATAAACGTTTGATAATTTCATATTGTATTAATTTTTATTTCATGGAAAAAGTACATTCATCAATTGGTTTCTTTTTACTTCCCCTAATCTTCGTAATAGAGCTTCTTGTTGACCTCTGCCTTCATTATTATAATCTTCATTGTTTTCTATAACAATATCGACATCAAAGTTATCGTTGTTGTCTATGCATAAGTTATGCAAAACGCAACATGATGTAATAAATTTTGATATTTTATCAACAGTATGTAGATCAACTTCGATTAATTGTCGAAAACGACCTTTCAACAGTCCAAACGCATTCTCGATCAATACTCGAGTCGCAGACAGCATTTTATTAAATTGTTTATCCTTTGCAGACAGATTTCCGTAGTCTTTAAATGGTATAATAAGTCATTCTCTTATTGGATACGCTCCATCGCCTAGAATGTGATATTTTCCGCCTTCACATATTCCTGGCAACTCGTCGCATATATCTGATAATTTGAGTACGCGCGCATCGTGAATTTTCGACGGGATTCCTGTAAATGTATCTATAAATCTCTTTCGAGCATCACATATGCCCTGCAATGTTATCGAAGGGATGTCATGTCTATTTACATATGTCGATTTTATTTTGTGGGCTGGCGTTCGGACTTTAATGAAAGTCCCATCAATGCAGCCAAGAACTTTCGGAAATCCTGCAATCTTCAATTTTATATACATATACATTAAATAACTCATTAGAAAAACATACATAAAATACAATAAAGCTGAAACTAGTAGCAAATTCACATAAGCACTGTTTAGAACTAAAGAATAATAGAAAAATTTTTAGCATTAAATAATTAATTAACAAGAAATTGACATTTATTAAATAATAATTAAAAAACTACTGCTTTCATAATTCAGCTATGAATCGGCTGCTAGCTTTAGCTTCATTAAAATACATTAATTAAATATACATACTTGAAGGAATTCGTTTGCAGTATTTTCTTTGTCAGAAAATTTGATGACGTTTCCAGTTATATCGCATAGAAAATCCATCATTTTTTTATTTTGTCGAAAAATCGTTGTAGCGCATACTCCAAATCTTTGTGCAACATCTCTTAAGCACACTTTATTTCCTGCAAACCTATACAAATAATATTTTTGAAATCTTTTAATATTATATTATATATATATATAATATGAGTGGTGGATGAATTAAAAACTATACATGTATATGTAAAACTTACCACAAAAAAGATAAAACGTGTGATTCAGCAGAGGACGGTTTAATACCTCCGTGGCTTGTATCACCAGAATAGAACGTCGAATTTTCGAAATTATTTATAATATCATATGCTGTTGCCCTCGAAACTGGGATTTGTGACTACAACAAAATAAAAATTACTTTCTACTTTTAATTTTCACAAGCTAAATTATAACAATAACTTACGATCGTGATCGGAATATTGATGTACTATTTTGCAAAAAGTTTTTTCATTTTAGGAACAATTCGCCTTCGGATTTCGAAGAAAATACTCATTTTCATCACTGGCTGGATGAAGATGAAAGGAAATCCGAAATTATCACATACGTTTGTTCATTCAAAACATCTCTGTTCTGCGCCGCCATGTTTTGCACTCAACCGACACTATCTCTCCGAGCTCGTGCCGAATTTTGTGCACGAAAGTGCAAAAACTCGACACTACATTTTCCAATGAACACGACGCATGATTTTAATGTGCACTGAAATTCCCAATGAAACACATCGTCCACGACTAGTGCGCATTGAGTGCGCACTCATTTTCCCAATGAAAAACGCTATAAAATTGAACGGACTATCTGTCGCTTCATGCGCATCATGAGTGAATCAGAAAGCATTGTATGAATACCGGCCTTAGTTATACAAAAATTTTGTAACGATATTCTCATCTAATTATATTCATAGTTCATGGTGGCGCTCATAATCGCGCGTACAAACGCGAGCGCAGCCGCCATTTTGTCACGTTTTATTTCTAAAAACGCCTCCCCACCATATTGAAAACAACCGAAGGTCGACGCTGATCTCGATCGCAACAGAGTATTCTTTGGTTAGGTTATTGGCTACGTTTGACGTCTTCTGTTATAATAGTAAGTAAATCGTGATGATAGTTCGCTACACAATATTATGTACGTCGCATCACTATCTTGCTTTCGTGTTTTGATTCGGTTTTAAGATTCTTATATTGATTGCCGCATCTTTACCATGCGCGGTTTACGGACAAAAACGGAAGATTCGTTGTCTAAGAAGTTAATATTGTTTCCTTCGTGTTGGATGTCGTCATTCTTATCATTATCGTACATTGTACTGTCATTTATCAACGTATTATATCATTCTTCACTTTTACTCAGTATCACTTCATCCGACTTTCTTGTTCTGCTGGCCGCCAACATCATGTCCAGATCTGACAACGCAACATACACGTTGTTATAACCTCCATACTATAACCTATTATTATAACCTTAGACTTGAAACATCAACACTGCGAAATGACGGCCAATTGCCNTTTTGGATTTTGAGGTTATTTCCGTAATATAAATAAATTGTCGGCAAAGACATATGTACTTATGTACATAATAGTTTTTGGATATTGTCTACTCGAAAAACTTGAATGCATATATAACCCCTTGTAAAGCTTGTAAAACACAATTCATTTGATATTCAAAAATATATACATAAAAAGAATATTAACTGAATATTATTGATTCTTGTGTCAATTAATTTCAGATGACGATACCTACAGCATACAATATATAAAACTTGTGATTAAAAATGGATTGTGTGTTCTACATGGAAGCGAAAATCAGAAAATTGAAGAAATATCTCGAGTGATTGAAGATGAGTAAGTAAAATTTTTTTGAGATGTATTAATTGCAAGCTATCAAAATCTTCCGAAAAAGCACATTAAGAAGTTAAGAGCAAAGTTTATTTTATAAAATATAATTACCATTTTATTTTACAAGTTTACTTTAAAAAAATAAGTAAGTTTACTTTAGGGTAAACAGGAACTCTTCAGTTTCTTACATACATATATTAATTCCAAGCAATCTTGTTTTTCATTATTTCTTCAAAGAATCAAAGTTCTACAGAATTCAAATGTACACAACAGAAAAAAAAAAAAAAAAATAAAGGGTAAGTCAGAGGACCTCTGCAACGAACTTTGACAACTTGTTTGGAAGGTCATTCTAAGTAAAAAATGTTATATGAACACAGGTCCTATTCTTAATATTTACATAGTTGCAGAAGTTGTAAAATTTAGGTGACATGTACAGTTATGAAATGAATTATGCATTTATTTCTTCAAGTATCCTTGCGGACAGTTTACAGGAGTTGTTCAAAGTGTTTATTCTGAATCTGATTACTTTTATTACACCATCGTAGCAGTGATTGTCAAATTCTGTCGAACATTTGAGGTCTGTAAATATTAAGAATAGGATCTATGTTCATATGACATTTTTTAATCAGAATGACTTTCCAAACAATCTGTCTAAGTTTGTTGCAGAGGATCCTTACTCACCCTGTATATGGCAGTGTAAAATGTCAATATATTTTGTATTACAGAGAACAATTGATATTCCACGCGAATAGTCATGGTGATAATCGCAGCAATGAAGATCAGCTATCGGAGTATAATAAAGAAAATGAAGCACTCATGTTTGAATCCTTTGAATCACAGGAGTATGATCAGAATGAATCACAATCGCAGGAGTACGATAAAAAAGGAAAGAAGAGTAGCGGTAAATCTGTTTTAATAAAGCATTTACGACTATTCATAGCACTATGATAATGTACTATAAAATATGGTATTTGTTATATTCGAGCAGAAAATTAATACGATACGAAACGAAGAATGATACGTTAATAAATATAATCTAAATATATTATTAACAAATAAAATACATACAATATATATGTATAATAGAATATATATAAATATAATATAAATGAAATAAATATAATATGAAAAATGTAATATAAAATATAAAAGATTTTTTAAAATCTTTGACTTCACAAAATTTTTACATTATTGTAATACCTACTAATAGGTTTACTGGTGCTATAATGTAGACTATTGTATTAATCATTAAACAACGTGATTTTCAGATTACTGGAGCAATTCAGGAACACCGTTTCTTCTCGATAAATATGAAACATATATGTCGGATATTGGTCCCATGAAAAAATTCAAAACTAAAAAATTGATGTGGGCGCAAATTTCAAAAGATATGCTGACGATGTTGGACGTATTAAAAACTCCTCTTCAAGTTGAAAATCGGTATAAAACCGTTCTCAAAAGGAAAAAAAAAGCAGTTGAGAACAACTCTAAATCAGGCAGCTCTAGAGAGGATGTACCATTCGAAGAAGAATTGCGTAAAATTGCTCATTCGGACGATAGTATTGAGCCCGAGGTGTTGCGAAATGCAAGGAGCGTTAAATATCCTAAATTGAATACAAGAATGTCGGAAGAAATCTGCAATGATAGTGCCTCTACACATTCTACTGATAGCTCACCACCGAAGACAAAAAAATCGAAACCAAGTGATATTGATAAAAGGATGGAATACTGGAAAAATAAAGAAGCGGCAAAAGAAAGACGTCACCAAGAAAAGTTGAATTTAATACGGGAGTTGTTCGCCAAACAAAAGTAGCGGGAACTAAAGTAAGGTGATACAGAAACAAGCAAGTATTAAAAAAAACCAAAGAAAGACTAATGTAAAATCAGCCTGAACCATATGTTAATATGAAAGTTCCTAACTAAAACGTTGGATGTGATATATAATTTTAATTATTTTTTTTTCTCTTATAATTTTGTACGTTTACTAATGTATGTCTTTGTTTTTAATATTACTGGTTTTTAATATTAGCGTATGCATATTTTGATTTTCGCACTTTACGAAAGATATAGTACTGCTCAGACTATTAAGTATGAACCAGTATAAAGTAAACTTATTGTGTTATTTAATTTTAAAACAGTGTTATTTAATTTTACAATCAAACTTTTTGAAAAAGCGTGTATGTTAAAAAATTACATGTTTATGAAATAAATAAGAGATATAATATATGAATTTTGAAAAAATAATCAATATGTACGTGTTATAAAAAAAATATGCTTTGTTTTTATACGTTTTGTTTTTTATTGGAAAGTATGTACTTATTTGCCACAGGACAAATAAACGTTTGATAATTTCATATTGTATTGATTTTTATTTCATGGAAAAAGTACATTCATCAATTGGTTTCTTTTTACTTCCCCTAATCTTCGTAATAGAGCTTCTTGTTGACCTTTGCCTTCATTATTATAATCTTCATTGTTTTCTATAACAATATCGACATCAAAGTTATCGTTGTTGTCTATGCATAAGTTATGCAAAACGCAACATGATGTAATAAATTTTGATATTTTATCAACAGTATGTAGATCTACTTCGATTAATTGTCGAAAACGACCTTTCAACAGTCCAAACGCATTCTAGATCAATACTCGAGTCGCAGACAGCATTTTATTAAATTGTTTATCCTTTGCAGACAGATTTCCGTAGTCTTTAAATGGTATAATAAGCCATTTTCTTATTGGATACGCTCCATCGCCTAGGATGTGATATTTTCCGCCTTCACATATTCCTAGCAACTCGTCGCATATATCTGATAATTTGAGTACGCGCGCATCGTGAATTTTCGACGGGATTCCTGTAAATGTATCTATAAATCTCTTTCGAGCATCACATATGCCCTGCAATGTTATCGAAGGGATGTCATGTCTATTTACATATGTCGATTTTATTTTGTGGGCTGGCGTTCGGACTTTAATGAAAGTCCCATCAATACAGCCAAGAACTTTCGGAAATCCTGCAATCTTCAATTTTATATACATATACATTAAATAACTCATTAGAAAAACATACATAAAATACAATAAAGCTGAAACTAGTAGCAAATTCGCATAAGCACTGTTTAGAACTAAAGAATAATAGAAAAATTTTTAGCATTAAATAATTAATTAACAAGAAATTGACATTTATTAAATAATAATTAAAAACTACTGCTTTCATAATTCAGCTATGAATCGGCTGCTAGCTTTAGCTTCATTAAAATACATTAATTAAATATACATACTTGAAGGAATTCGTTTGCAGTATTTTCTTTGTCAGAAAATTTGATGACGTTTCTAGCTATATCGCATAGAAAATCCATCATTCTTTTATTTTGTCGAAAAATCGTTGTAGCGCATACTCCAAATCTTTGTGCAACATCTCTTAAGCACACTTTATTTCCTGCAAACCTATACAAAGTAATATTTTTTGAAATCTTTTTAATATTATATATATATATATATAATATGAGTAGTGGATGAATTAAAAACTATACATGTATATGTAAAACTTACCACAAAAAAGATAAAACGTGTGATTCAGCAGAGGACGGTTTAATACCTCCGTGGCTTGTATCACCAGAATAGAACGTCGAATTTTCGAAATTATTTATAATATCATATGCTGTTGCCCTCGAAACTGGGATTTGAACTACAACAAAAATAAAAATTACTTTCTACTTTTATTTTCACAAGCTAAATTATAACAATAAACTTACGTCGTGATCGGAATATTGATATACTATTTGCAAAAAGTTTTTCATTTTAGGAACAATTCGCCTCGGATTTCGAAGAAAATACTCATCTTCATCACTGCTGGATGAAGATGAAAGGAAATCCGAAATTATCACATACGTTTGTTCATTCAAAACATCTCTGTTCTGCGCCGCCATGTTTTGCACTCAACCGACACCATCTCTCCGAGCTCGTGCCGAATTTGTGCACGAAAGTGCAAAAACTCGACATTACATTTTCCAATGAAACACGACGCATGATTTTAATGTGCACTGAAATTCCCAATGAAACACATCGTCCACGACTAGTGCGCATTGAGTGCGCACTCATTTTCCCAATGAAAAACGCTATCAGTGTGTACTGATGCGCACTAGTGCTTCCAATCGAATTCGCTATTATTCTTTTTATATTGTCTTAAAATATAAGTTATTCAGATGAAAGAGCTCTTATTGAGGGCTCAGTAGATTGTGGTACTACGTGCGTTTGATGTGATAGTACCGTTCTTAACCTGATAATGACGACTATGCGTAAATTTACTCGGTTCCTGCAAAGGACGAGTTTTCTCAATAAAAATTATTACATGCATGAAAGTGGGCTTGTGAGGTCGTTTCGCACGATGGTGCAACAGCCGAAGTTGATGAATTTAACAAAAGCTGTCATAGTTGGTACATCCATCGGTACTGTCATAGGTGGTATTTATGCTTATTACAACATCCAGAAAAATAAGAAAAACATCAATTTGGAAGGAACAGAGCGAGAAATGATGCTGTTGAAGTATATGCCGCCTATCAAAACATCTAGAGAAGTACTTGTGTAAATTATATCAAGAAAAATTATTAATTATACTTATACGAGTATTGAGGAAACTATATCTTTCTCTTTCAGATTGTATCGGCAACACACATCCCTGGGTTGAAATTTACATTATTTCAATACCAAACATGCCCCTTTTGCTCTAAGGTAACTGAGAAGAATTTACGATTTGCATTATGCATTAATTTAATTATATTATTTTAATATTTTGATCAAAACTGAATTTATTATATCAGAATTGATATTTATCTATTGGAATATTTGAAAGATGTTTGAAATTTATAACTGAATACACTATCTTTTATATATAAATATATATTTCTCATATACATAAATATATAAAGTTTTATATATAAATTTATTAATTAACTATTACATCATACTGCTATATAAAACTAATTAAAATTTTATAGGTCAGAACTTTCTTGGATTACTATGGATTATCTTATGATATTGTAGAAGTTAATCCAGTATTTCGTAAAGAAATTAGGTGGTCTTCTTATAAAAAGGTTCCAATTCTTTTGACTAAAGAGAAGGATGACTATCGAGCTTTGAATGATAGTTCTATGATAATATCACTTGTTGCATCTCATTTACAAGATAGATCTCATACAATTGAAGATCTGACTAAATTTTATCCAAGCATAGGGATGTATGATGAAGAAGGCAACTTCAAATTTGAGATTATAAATAAGTATTTTCTTATGTTTAATGACCAGACTCCAAATAAAATAGTAATAAAGAAAACAACGTATGTAAATTTCAACTAATGGGTACAACTAACTAAATCTATACAGTTTTGTATTATCTCTTTATTTATTTTTTCTAGCGAAGAACGGAGGTGGAGGAAATGGGCAGATGATGTTTTTGTACATGTACTTTCACCAAATGTATACAGGACACTCAATGAATCCTACAAAACTTTTAGATGGTTTTCAGTTGTGAGTGTGGACTTTCTCTCTCTCTCTCTCTCTCTCTCTCTCTCTCTCTCTCTCTCTCTCTCTCTCTCTCCCTCTCTCTCTCTCCTCTCTCTCTCTCCTCTCTCTCTCTCCTCTCTCTCTCTCTCTCTCTCTCTCTCTCTCTCTCTCTCTCTCTCTCTCTCTCTCTCTCTCTCTCTCTCTCTCTCTCTCTCTCTCTCTTACTCAATTGACAGATCTGAAACTATACATTACATAATATAACAGCATAATTGAAATTAACAAAAGACAACAAATGTAATCCAAATTTATTTGATCTAGTTCGGAAATTGGGAGGAATACTTTCCAACTTGGGAACGAATACTGGTAGTGAACGTCGGTGCAATAGCAATGTGGATAATCGGAAAAAGACTTAAGAAAAGACATCGTCTTAAAGACGACGTACGACAGTCACTGTACGACGAAGCGAACTATTGGTTGCAAAATATCAACAAAAAGGGCACCACGTTTATGGGCGGTCATAAGCCTGATCTATCCGATTTGGCGGTGTATGGTATCTTGAAAAGCATCGAAGGCTGTGACGCTTTTGAAGACTTATTAGCAAACACGAAAATCGGTAACTGGTATTATGCTGTAAAAGAACAAGTTGATACGCATGCTGGAAGTGCGGAATTACGCAGATAATGCCGTTTGTCGTGCTGTGTATAGAGTTACTTATTTACATAATAAACTATAAGCACCGATACGCTTGCTAGAATTTATAATGTGTATCGTGTGTCACGTACTTAAACCGCGCAAGGTAGCTGACGGAACATGAGTCTGAAGCCCTTATTTTGAGCGTCCTGCATCTCGTCGCCGTTTGTAACGATGTAGAGTATAAATGGTTTCAAATCCGCTAAAAATAAAAAATACAATATAAATCAGTGCCTTAACGCACAATTATATATTCGATTTCAATACGATCTGTTCACTTCTCGATGCAGTTCGAAACGACAGTCCATGACTTCCGAAAATTAATCCAATCAACTTCTTTCGATAACTGCAATTCGAACTGCGAGGAAAAAAATGTCCGAACCATAAAAATAGCGAAACCGCATTTGAGTGAACTCACATGTTTTAGTGATGAATGCATTTCCACAAAACCTATCTGTATTAGTTGGCACGCCGTTTTCACGCGGATCGGGTATAATCACGAAATCCTCCGTGCAGCTATCGCCAGATTCCGCTACCAAATCTGTACCTGTTGAAGCAATAATTAAACACTCTAGGCGGATCAGGAAGTATTCAACGATTATATTCGATAGCATATGTAATTCGCTAAATTTATAACTCTTACAGAAAAATTGCTCTTTAATACCGAGATCGCAGTCCAGGAATTATTGCCAACGATCGTCATCGTATCTTTACCTATTATGTCCGGATCAAAGGATCCTGTGTCCCCAGAAACGGAAAAGGAGAATCTGTCCACTTGCGACCACTCGATGTTGCAATAACCCAGAGCCATTCTGATACACACGCCATAACGATGATTTACCATTTGTCGCGTCCCGATCTGAGGAGCTGAAACGATTCCTCGGTGAAACCGGTCGTTCGGAATTTGCTGTAACGTTCAATCGACGCATACCTCGAACATTTTCCGTTGTGCCAAAGTTGAAGCTCATTACGACACCCGAGACGGTTTTGTGATACTGCAGACACCCGTTTGGAGCTGAAACGAAGAAACGGAGTTATCGCAGTTTCGTATGGACTTTCCGAATTAATAACGATGGTATTCGCGCACCTCTGCAGACGGAATCGCACGGTATTTGTTGAATCCGTATGTTCCATCGCCGATCGAATGCGTAATCCGCGTTGGTGTCGACGGATATCATGATCGGAGTCGCTCCGTTGAAGTCGACATACACTGAAACGATCGCGATTGTTAACGTCATTGAGAATAAGTCGACATATAATCTAATTAATATACACCACATATAGAATCAATTGCCGTTGGAAAATTGGCTGTTAACAGAGAACTGATTGAGAATCGCCAATTAAGCTTTCGTGTGACTAACGTGTAACTCTGCGCGGATTTGCGCATGAATTTTACATGGGCCTATTTACCGTGTTGATTAGTATTATCACCGCATATTCTCGGCACCGTGGACGAGCCTCCGGACACCAGGAGGACGTCGAAATCACACCACCCAGTGGCGTTGGGCTGAGCGAGGGTTGCTTCTAAAAAGTCCAACCGCAGCTGCAAACGTAAAAGATAGAGAAGTGGACTCGACTTCTCAAGTCCTCGCGCTCTTCAAGTCTCTCGCGCATCTTACCTGGCATATGTGGGGATTGCAGCGTTGGACGGTGATCGTGCAGCGTTCTCCCCCTCGATAAGTGATGGGATAATTCGGGCTCACAAAGTACGTGTTGTTCACGTTGGTGGTGGAGCCGCAGGATCTCTGGACTATCACGAAACAACAGGGTCTTACTTTCTCATGACATGTCGCTTTGTTTCATGCTACTCACATACGCAACAAATGCCCAGTCCGTTGGCGCATGATCCCGAGGGGATGCCTCCGAAATTCATGCATTCTCGCCTCGTAAAGCAGGTGCCGTTCAGGCGACTCTCAGCGCTCGATAAGCACTGGGAGTTGGCGAAACGCACGACACTGAACAGAGGAAAGACTACACAGAGATATAAGGCGTTTAAAACGTTTTCAAACCAACTCGTCAACATCTGAAGATCTCATTAAATCCAGAGATGCTTACACCTTCCTTGTTGACTGGAGCGAAAGTCGAGCGCTTTGGTCTCCGAAACAACATCATCTTTCAGGGGCTGGCCCCAATCAGCAGTCTGAACGCTCACGAGAGGCACAACAGCAAAGCAACCGGTTAAAAGTAGGCTGATCATGTCTGGTGATGTGACTGACTTGGAGAATTGCATTCTGGCCGTCGACGGGTTCCGATAACGGAACGTATACGCCAAACGATCGTGGCAATTAGCGAGCGGTTGACACCTCGAGTTTGCTGTCCGCTTAACTGTACGATTCTTACGTGCTATGCGCGGGATGAGCAGTCGCTTCTTCTACGAATGATACAGTGAATGAGGGTAACGAATCGAGAAAGTAAAAAGAGAGAGGAAAAAGGGAGAAAGAGGCGTCTTATACGATTATAAAAATCTTCATGTGAAAAAGCAATTAATCTATTATCGTCTCGACAAAATGCTGTACAAAAGCATAATAGTGGTTCGAGACACAGCGATAGAATTTATAACAATTCGATATAAGTACACGTGATCTACAAGGAATTTGAACTCCTGAACTCCCCGCATGATGCTTCAACCTGCCGGAGTGCTTGCCGTTCGACAAAATGGACAGTGTCCGTGTCGCAGTAATGCTAATTCGTAGTCGTCCGAGTGAAACAACTGAAATGTATCACTAAGTTACATATACTAAAATTCTGTAAAGCTCTGACTAAGCAACGTTGTTCGCGCGACTCACCTTTAAGCAGCACTTGCACAGGCTGACCTGAAGGTCGGGTAAGAGATTTCGAAAGTATCTGGTCTTGAAGGGCTTCGGCCATTTGATGATTATCACAGTGGATGGATCCATACTTTTCAACACTCTCCTGCCCACGGTTATCGTAGGGTTGTTGGCCTTCTCCTGCGGGAAAAAAGAAGTCGTTTTTTGATAGAGATAGACATAATTTACTTAGAAAGAACTATATCGATATTCAATCAAACGAAAATATTTTTCTAAGTTTTTCTTTTTTAAAATTTTGCTTTGTTTTTGAATTTGATTTTTTTCAAAAAATTCATCAATTTTTCTTCCTTCAAAAATTGCGGTCGGCCTGCAATTTCCCTTTAACATAAAATGTCCTACTTAATTAGTTCTTTAATATTTGTCGTCTTTAGAAAGATTCTTTTAATATTTTTCGTCTTTAGAAAGAAGACAATTTGTGCAATTGTTGATTCCATTGTGCTAATTATACCTCGAATCTCATTAAGCGAACAGTGAACAGGTCGGCCTCGTTAGAAGTCACGGTGAATTGATCGGTCATTGCAGTATCATCGGCAGACGGTAACGGCTCCTCTATCAGTTTTTCTGCTTCCTCGTCTGTAATATTGTCCTCCAGTTCGAATTCAACCAGCGGCAGGATTTCTACAAATACAGGAGTTTTACGAATGTTTTACGAAGAATCTCAAAATTGCACGGATTGCGATCACTTGAAATCACTCACCGAACATGACGAAAGAATGTTGGAACTTCAGGCCGCACTGCGTGCAATTACTACCGGAGACGTTGTTTGTCGGCAACAACGGATTGAAAGTGGAACATTTGTAGCACAGTGGCAGCAATTCTTCCGGATCGCGATACGAGTAAGACCTGGCGGCCAACGTGGACGTCTCTACTTGCGCCAAGAGATTCGCAGGGATTCTCATCGCGCGCAGCTGATCCAGCAGCTGCATCATCAACTTATTTGCTCCCAATATTCGAGCTTGCTTCACTAGACTATACATTATCGTCAGCTTTGACACACCTTCCAGACGTATGCTCTGCGTCTTCATCAATAAGTATCTCGAGATGTTAAATAATGCCTCCGGCATCAGCGATGTGAAGGGTTCTTCCTGAAATAGATCAACTCGATGAAAAAAACGAACGAGAGAACATATACCGAAAAAAGTATACTGTGTGTTATATCGGCCGCCATAGTCGTACCAAATATTTGTGTACTTCATGATATGCGTAATAGATGTCTGCTTTGTCGGAGTAGTTGAGGAACATCGTTTTGATTTCGTCTGTGCTTTTCGTTAAGTTCAAACTCAACTGCGACAATAGCCAGTAGAAATAAGAGGCGTCGCGGAATCTTTTCTCCACGACAGCGTTGTTAGCCAGCATTGTGAGCACCATTATGGATTCCTCCGGTTGTCCGGCCATTTGGAACGCTAGCAAATGCAACAAGAGACGCAAACATTAACGTCTAAACCGATACATATTGTCACGTTGAGAAATACCTTCTTGAGCTTCAGAGAACCGTCCAGTCTCCGCTAACCATCGCGCGTATGGTCCGTATACTCGCGATTTCAGCTTCGGATTCCTCTCCGCAAGTTCGAAAGCCTCAGGCCACGCCTGCGCGTCCACGAGCACGTCGGCGACGTCGGGATCATCTCCGAGCCGACTGAAGATCTCAGCTGCGCCATGCGAGGCGCCCAGTTGCTTCAGTTTCTTAGCAATCATTGATAGGTTGTCGCGGTCAGCCTTGTCCAATTGTCTACCCACTTTGATCAGCATGTCGATCCAACCGTATTCTGCGATGATGCTGATGGCACGGTCGATGTCACCTGCGGAGAGGAACATTTCGGCAGCAGCGCGCGGCTCGCCCAGGCTTTTCGCCCACTCGGCCCGCCGTCGTAGCAACACTGTGCGATCCTGAAGGTAAAAAGCTACTTGATTTTACATGTTTCGCCCGAGTTGAAGCTTAAAGCGTTCGTTTGAAGGCAACCTGCGTATTGCCAGATGCTATAAACTCCTGAGCAATGTCGAACATCCGCAAGTCGGAATACATATCCAAAGCGTACTGCTGCAAGCCAGCTTTCTGGTAGAGCTTCGCTGCATCGCGAAGTCTGCCCATGGCGGCAGCGGCGGTGGCCATGCAAGCCTCTCGTCCCCATTCACCTGACTTCAGCTTCTCCTCCACCTCCGATACGATCTCTATGTAGCGCAGCTTCTTCACTCGCGCGAAAGCCGAGTATGCGATGTTCAATTCCAAATTGTCCAAACATGCTGTTCCCAAAGCGAGCCAGTCCGATTCCGCCACGCCTAAGCACGCTATATCGTAGGCGTGATTGTACAAACCGATGTCCAGATATTGGTACATGAACAACGACAGCGGCACCTGCAAATTGGTATAACGTATAAATGGCGAAAATGTACCAGTATTAATTATTAACTCAAAATCTTACGTGGTTTTATATGTTATCGTCAGACATCCTATATTTAATGTTTTGTTATATTTAATATTCGTGTTTTATTATATAAAAATATAATAAGTATATTTATATGAATGTAATCTTTAACCACGACAGTTTGCTTACTTCCAACGTGACGATGGACGAGCCGTTCAGGCAATACAACTTCGAGCCGTTGTGGCCCACCACGAAGCCGGAGAACTTCTGCCTGTACTCGGAGAAATTCGCCACTTTAATCGCGAGGTAATTGTTGCCCGCGAAGCACATGATGTCCTCGAAGGCGATGTTAAACGCCACGCTATTGACATTCTGGAATTCCTGCAATTTTTCGCCTGTGCACAGGTCGAACACGGAGAGAATACCAGCTTCGCTGACCACCGCCATCTTTTCTTTCAAGGAGCTGATGTCCAGGCATCGCACGGAGTCCTCGATTTTCGTCACGTGCGCGGGAAATGGATTATCTAGATATATTTTCATCACGTGGCCAGTCTTCAAGCCTAACGTCGGATTTGCGTTTGTTTTATTCATTTACGCGTTAACTTGGAAACGTAACGACACATTCTTCGAAGTTCACCAACCGGTTATCAGGCATTCCTGTCCGGCGGGTCCGCCAGCCACTTTGATGTACATGATGAGTCCATCCAGTATCCATTCTCTCTCTATTATCCCAGTGAATGAGAGACTCTGCAGTCGCCTTTCCAGGCATAGAATTAGATTGTTCGATGTAACAACCAACAGATTGCAGTTCAACATTTGGTTGAGTTTTTCTCGTATCCTGTAGTGCATTCCGTCGCTCGTACCGGATGGTTCGTAGATGATCACACGCTCCGGTAATTGCACAGCTAGTCGGTTTCGGTAAACTGCGATGCGACATACCTGAGATTTATATAGCATGAATAATGCTGTGCAATCGTTTAAACACCAATACCAGACATCAACGTCATTTCTTGGAGAATTGTTACACGCACCAGATCTTTACATTTAATTCGAACTTTTTGATTCGTGATTAAATGTTGTATGATTACGTCGGTCATGTTCTCTCTATAGGCGTACCTGTCCCCGTACAGGCCATGCACAACGTTCCAGGACAATTGCAAATATGTTATCGTACCATCCTGAGAACCGAGCGCCTATAAAATATATGCTGAATATAATGAATTGTAAGAAGCAGTCTATGATAAATAACACATTGTGACTCACAACGTGCGAAGCAGTCGGATGAATAGCGCAGCTCCACACCCACGACGAGAAGCTACAACCTACAGTAACCAGTTGTATACCATCATGCGTCATCAACAAGCATTGTTTGTTACTGCCGCAAACGAGAAGATATTGGCCTTCTGGGAAGTGAACGATTTTTAACGGTATGAAACCGAGCGATCTTTCTTTTCTAACAGCTTCTCCACCAATAGTGTAAAATGAGATCACTCCATTCCACTCGGCGATGCAGAGGATGTCTGTAGAGTCATCACTAAAAGGTATCATCAATGGCATCACATAAAACGTTCTTATTTAATTATTTTATAAATATTAGTTACATCTGTATTACATTGTTAATTACCGTAAAGGATTCCATGACAAACTCCAGATTGGTACTCCAAGCTGTCGTTCGATCTTTGTTTTCTCTTCACCATTCTAGAAAAACTACAGATGTCTTATTGTGTTAATTAAAAATATCTAAAATAGAATACATTGAAAATACTCTTTATAAGTAATGTACTTTGTTTCTTATGGATACATGTCCAGTTGCAAGACCAAGAGCTAAGTATTGTCCATCTTTTGTCCATGCACAACAATTGACTCTCCCTCCAGATTTGAGCTTCTGCACAGCTTTCTGTTCCGCAGACCAAAAGGCAATGTCTGAGAGAGAACAGCTGAGCAGCTGATGTGAGACAGGATTAAACTGCATTGACTGTACAGCCTCATTGTGTCTGAACAAGGTAAAAAAAAAAAAATATTAAAAGCTTTTCTATCAAATATATCAGAGATGTACAACTTACGAATATTTTAATATTCCTTCTAGCTTTGAAGTCCAGATAATAACACTCTTGTCTGCACTTCCTGATGCAAACTTTTTACCATCCTTAGCATAACATACACAATACACTGTATCTTTATGACCTGAAAAGTATGGGGAGAAAAGGGAGAAAATTAAAATATATTTCAAAAATATAATATTTACAATAATTTTCCACATTTTTGGTTCCAGTTAAAGAGAAAATGAAAGATATTAGATTATACCATTACATAATTTATTTCCATATTAACTACTAAATATATACAAAAGAAAAATTACCTTTCAATGGTTGAATCAAAGCACCATCATTGGTCTCATATACAAGCACCTGATTGCCAGATGCAACAACTAACTGTGTACCATCTGGATTAAAGCAAAGATCATATATACTGAAATAATATTATCATATAGTATTTGTCAAGTATATTAATATGAATACTGCTATCAAGAATATATAGCATCTATTCTAGTATAAGCAGATTTACTAAATTATTGTAAAGCAAATAGTAAAATATGAAATCAACAAATACAAATATTTGCAGATTGATTTGTAACACACAATAAATTATAATCGTCCATAAACGATTTTTTCATAAAACTTTACCATTGATCTGACTTGTCTTGCACCTTGTCGACCCATGCTGGATGTGCTCTCATTCTGTTACATTCAACAGATTGTTTATTATTGGATTAACGTAACAATATCTTGTGCCATACACGGATTTGTTTTGTGTCCATATGGTTACCAAGGAAACGGCGGTCAAGGGTAAAATAGTGCGTTCTAAAAAGATACAATACAATGAAAATAGGTGCAATACAATGGCCGCGTTCAGTAGAACAAAATGATCAGAGAGCGCTTAGTGATTATTGTCTGTGATTGGAGCATTCTTTTAGATTCTTCATAGACCCAGAAGTATTTATCAATCAGGATCGAGATTCAGTGGAAAATCTAGTAATGTTGTCCAACTGTTGAGTCTACTGAATGCAGCCAATGGCTGCATTCAGAAAACAACGGTTACACAACGGTTGAGTAATTCGTCAACGTTATTGGTCTGAAAGTAAGGATCTAACAGTAAGGACCAATAGTTACTAAGCGCTCAGTGAGCGCTTTGTTTTCTGAACGCAACCACTCCGATGTCCAATGTCCGACATAAGGTGCATTCAGTGGATGCATCCAGAACCACGAATGCTCACTGAGCGCTCAATGAGCTTTTACATTTGATTGGTATATTCTTTTAGATTTAAGAATATACACCAATCAGATACAAGAGCTCACAATGAGCATTCGTGGTTCTGGATGCACCCAGAGGTAAAGTGGAGGGGATAACGTTGGTACCAACGAAAATCTCTGCACGATATAATTTTAGTTTCTGTAGATTAGTACCACTGTTGAAGTAGTAAGTCTGTTAGTTTGCGTTTTGACAGGTGTGCGCGCATGTAAATAATACTGTACAACTATTATATATAAAAACGTAAATATAAAATATATTGTATTGGGTTGGCAACTAAGTGATTGCGGATATTGTCGACAGATGGATTTTACACTTTCTTTTGTTTCGTTAACGTGTTCAAAGTACCTAACCTATATTTTTTTTATTGTTTGGACTTCTACCTTTCATTTAATACAAAAATTATATCGATTAGTTCTTTAGTTTTGTTTTTATCCCAATTTAAAAATGGAAGAGCAAGACGTGCACTTCAGACATATTTAATTGTATTATTTCCGAAAAGGCAAGAACGCATCGCAAACATACAAGAAGTTATGTGCCGTATATGGGAATGAAGCCTTGAAAGAAAGACAGTGTCAAAATTGGTTTGCCAGATTTCGTTCTGGTGATTTTTCATTGAAAAATGCTTAACGATTTGGCCGTCCAGTTGAAGTCGATGAGACCCATATCAAGGCCATTATCGATTCAGATCGTCATAGCACAACACATGATATTGCAGAGAAGCTTAATGTATCGCATACATGTATTGAAAAAAATTTTAAAAAGCAAATTTAAAATTTTGAATTTTCATTCTTATTTAAAATCCGCAATCACTTAGTTGCCAACCCAATAGTATTTCATTAAAATAAAATTAAGTAAAAATGACAAGTAAATGGAAACCTAAAATACGTAATAAGTGAGATAAATAAGTGAGAATATAAATAATAAAATAATAAGTGAGCATACAAAGTGAACAAGAGACAAAAATAATAAATATTGTATTTACATAAATTGTGTGTGTGTGTGTGTGTATGTGTGTGTGTGTGTGTGCATGTGTGTGTGTGTGTGTGTGTAAGTAGATAAACAATAATTATATGTAATTAAATAATTTTAATTTTTCACTGTTTTGACATGTCACAGTAAATATTACTTGTTGAAGCATAGTTCTTCGCACTGGAATCAATTTACCTTCATTGTCATCAACAAATATATGTCAGATAAGTAATTTATATTTACATAAGATAAAAAATTAAATATTCATGTGCTGTTTATAATTGTAGATGTTGTTAAATTGATTCTTCCCTTGGATTTAATTTTTGTTCCAGTTTCCTAGCTATGTACGCATTTGCAAAATGTTAGTAGAGAATAATTATCGTGGAATAAGGTTGCCAAATTCCAAGCCTTGATGAACATCACTGACGGTTATAGCATCGTTCTTCGTACCTGGATCAATTTGCCATCATTGTCATCTGTGGAATGAAATTCATGCATGATGAGAGAAGTGTAAGCAAGGAAACTAGAGAGATATAAATCAAGGATAAACAATTATATCGGATAAGTAGTTTATATTTACATAAGATAAAAGATAAAATATTTATGTCCATGCTGTTTATAATTGTACATGTTGTTGAACCGATTCTTTCTTTTGAATTTTTTTTTCAATTTTCTAACAATCCATATGCTCGCTGAAAGTTGATATCCAGAGAATAATTTACTGTGGAATAAGGTTGCCAAATTTTGAAGGTACTGTGTCCTAGTTATAAACAGAAGTTGAAATTACATTCTGATGTCAAATATCCGTCACCAGCAAAGCCATGACAGATTGACGAGAGCAGGTTTGTAAAATTGATGTTTACTGTTATTTTTTATCGACGCTTTCTATATAGATATATTCGATGTTTATTACCATCTTGTTGAGTGTACTGAATCATATGTTTTTATCTTTCAGCTTTTATCTTTCAAATAGGATTTGTTGCCAATACTTGCCTTTACAAATATGGTTATTAGGATTTGAGATCTGGTACAGAAATATATAGTTTCTCCAAAAATTGAGGATCAGTTTTTAAAAGAAATATCTGTAGCAAAATAAAAGTCATGTATTATAAGTAGATGTATAAGCCATGAGAAGTCAGATAATCGCAAGTTTGTGCAACAAGAAGGAAAATTAAAAGAAGAATAAAAAAATTAAGAACGTGTTTATAAATTTATTTCTCTTCCTATTAATTCTGACAGTTCGTATAAAATTAATAACATATCTATGTTTGTATTATTATTTATTTTGCTTCAAATTTTTTGTAATTTTTCTTCTTTTTCCTTTAAAATATTATTCTCAGATCTTGACCAAAATACTGGGTGATTGATAATACTGTGTATATTTTTTTGATGGTTTGCCAAGTTTGCTGTAAACAATACTTAATTATAAAAACATTACAAATATTCTGAAAATAAGTGTAACACTGTGTACAAATACCTAAAAATGCGACGATTGTAGAATGTTTATTCAGTTTTTCTTTGAGTTCTCTGTTATGTCGCTCTGATATATTATTAGTTTTATGTAATTGTTTATATACACAGAACGACTCGGGTTTACAACCGTTAAGCCATGTTCTTTTATAATAATTAAGAAATGGCTTAATATATTTGCAAAAATAATATATTGGCAAAAATAATTGTTGAAATTGTAATGAAGCCTTCCTCTATTCTAAGGTTCAGGCAACAAAGCTAAAGATATTAATAATTTAATTACACCATATCCTATTTCTTCATTATTATTTTTGTCCTTTAATATTCTATGCTTTTTTGCATTATGTACTAACGCCTGTAATAAGGAAGCAATATAAAGAAAAGTGATGTACATTTCATGTTTATTATTATATGTGTTATTTTTTATTACCTGGCTATAATGAAAAAAGCAGCCAATTACTTTAACACCAGGAAAAACAATTTTTAATGCGTTTCGTTCCGCTCTTTCAAAATTACACACACACACACACACACACACACACACACACACAACTTATATAAATACAATATTTATTATTTTTTCTCTTGTTCACTTTGTATGCTCACTTATTATTTTATTACTTATATTTTCACTTATTTATCTCACTTATTACGTATTTTAGGTTTCCATTTACTTGTCATTTTTGCTTAATTTTATTTTAATGAAATACTACAATATATTTTATATTTATGTTTTTATATATAATAGTTGTACAGTATTATTTACACGCGCGCACTCCTGTCAAAAGGTTTACGCAAATTAATAGACTTACTACTTCAACTAATCTACAGAAACTAAAGTTATATCGTGCAGAGATTTTCGTTGGTACCAACGTTATCCCCTCCACTTTTCGGGGAACTGTCGCCTTACCCTCCTCGCTTCCTCTTTTCGACAAACTTCTTGCACTGGTGCAGTTAACAAAGTGCAGAAGTGTAATCAAAATGTAACAAGTGTAAAAACGACCAGAGATATACGATGCTAGCAACTTTGTGCGGCCATTACGTACCTAGTTATCTAACCTAGTTTGCTAGTGATATTTTTTTACGCAATATTACCCAAAACGTCACGAGAATCTTCCATTTTGTCGAATGACGATCAAACGGCGGAAGGAGGCCGGTTGTTAATTTCTACGGATTTTTTCACGGTATTTATTATCCACTAAACTCAAAGTCCTGAAAATATGATGAACAAACGAAGCAAATATAGGACGATACCGATCAAACTAGGTAATTTTCATCTAAACATGCAATAAACGATAATGTGCTTTACAACGCGAAAACATTCATTTGTCTCGACATCAATTGTATTGTAGACCGTATAATCTCGCCGAGATCAACTTTTGACGTGGTAAGTACGTAAAAAAGATGTAGCCACTGTAACATTTTCCATTCTTTCCGGTAAAACATAAGGATCATCAGGCTTACGCCGTTGAATTGCGCTTTCTGTATTTTCTTGCAAATTTTCTTTCCTTTTCTCTTTATCCTCTCAAGTCTCCGACCGAATATGCATCTGGAGTAATCATATTTGCATCAAACGTAGAAAGCGTAACATGACAGAGATAGAAAGTATCATCCGAGCGCGAAGCCCGGACGCAAATTATGTACAGGTTTTACTTTTCGCTCAATGCTCGCTCGTCGTACCGTTGCGGCCACTTATTGGCAACCTAATTCATCGCGAAATATCGTTTGTGTTATCAGCGCTTGATTGCATAAAAAAGTCGTTATAGTCCCCCCGTTGTCCCGTTTACGCTGAAGTTCGGCGCTTGAGTTACGGAGCGGCGCGCGCAGCCGGTCTCCCCCTGCCGCCATCATTGCCGTCGCGTCGGTCGCCAGTTGCAGCTGACCGATGGGAGCGTTCGGAGTGTCGTTCGCGTGTCGCGTCTCGCAGATTCCGCGCTCGTGCGTGTCCCCACGCGTACGTACGTACGTCGTGCGTCGTGTCTCGGTACGCGCTTGTCATCGGCACGCGTCGCCGCCAGTGAGTCGTCGCCGCGAGTGATTCGATCGCTCGTAGAACCGGCGTGAGTGAACGATCCTCGCGCATCCTGCTCCTCGTTGCGAAACGGTGAAAGGCGCGGGACGAAGAAGAGATCCCGGGACCGCCGACGACGGATTCCGGACGGGTCACAGATACTGCCACCACGGTCAATATAGGACACGGGGTAAGTGCTGAAGATTACTCGACTTTTATTTCATACTTGAGACTTCACACCGCGCACTGGTCGGCCGAAGGTTATCGCGATACGATCAACTTCGATGTTGTCGTTAAGAACAAGTGAAGTTTGGCACTTCTTCGAGATCTTTGAATTTTCGACTGTCAGCGAGGTGACTCTCGGTGCGAGTCGACGGCCGAGTCGATTACCGTAGTTGAGAATCGTCTCGTTATTTGCACGTTGTGCAAATGCGCCCGCGAGATGATGCAGCGCACGACCCGGCGCGCGGCCGTCGTTGTTAATTGTTACAAACGCGTTGACATTCGCGAAGATGGTACATACGTGGGATAGACGCGCGTGTGAGAAAAGTACATATCAGCCCGCGCACGCGAGAACGTCGCGTTCTCACGGCTTGAGGTGACTGACACCTGATGCGTCGCGATCAGAGCGTCGTGCGTGAAGATACGATATTCATTCGTCGGATAGTGACACACATTCCTCCCGCAGAGGAGTCGAGCTAATCGTTTCCCGACGTTAAAGTCGCTGTGTCATTCACCAGGTTGGAAAGATCGCTTGTTGTGTCGCACTAAACGCGTATTTTTCTCAAACGAGAAAAACGCGAGAGAAGAAGAGAGAAAGGTCACGTAATTCGCGCTGCCTGACTCGGCGCGTCCTTCCGCAGAGGACAACTTTCGATGCGTGCGATTTCTCTCTCTTCTCTCTCCATCTCTCTCCTCTCTCATCTCTCCTCTCTCTCTCTCTCTCTCTCTCTCTCTCTCTCTCTCTCTCTCTCTCTCTCTCTCTCTCTCTCTCTCTCTCTCCTCTTCTCTTCCTCTCTCTCTCTCTCTCTTCTCTCTCTCTCTTCTCTCTCTTCTCTCTCTCTCTCTCTCTCTCTCTCTCTCTTCTCTCTCTCCTCTCTCTCTTCTCTCTCTCTCTCTCTCTCTCTCTCTCTCTCTCTCTCTCTCTCTCTCTCTCTCTCTCTCTCTCTCTCTCTCTCTCTCTCTCTCTCTCTCTCTCTCTCTCTCTCTCTCTCTCTCTCTCTCTCTCCTCTCTCTCTCTCTCTCTCCTCTCTTCTCTCTCTCTCTCTCCTCTCTCTCTCTCTCTCTCTCTCTCTCTCTCTCTCTCTCTCTCTCCTCTCTCTCTCTCTCTCTCTCTCTCTCTTCTCTCTCTCTCTCCTCTCTCTCTCTCTCTCTTCTCTCTCTCTCTCTCTCTCTCTCTCTCTCTCTCTCTCTCTCTCTCTCTCTCTCTCTCTCTCTCTCTCTCTCTCTCTCCTCTCTCTCTCTCTCTCTCTCCTCTCTCCTCTCCTCTCTCCTCTCTCTCTCTCTCCTCTCCTCCCTCTCCCCCCCCCCCCCCCCCCCCCCCTACCCTACCCTACCCTACCCTACCCTACCCTACCCTCTCCTCTCCTCTTTTTGTTTACGCGTTGATGTTTTGTATTCAGTAGTTTACTGTCAACACAGTACTTACGGCCTCGTTAAGGAATGTTTATTTCGCGATCGTTACCGGTCGATTCATATACTTGAAATTCTTCATATTTCGTATCTCGGTTATGACCGATGTTCAATATATTGGAGAAAATTCAAAGCTACGACGACGGCTTATCGCTTTGCGACAAAATGTATGCTTTGCACCGAGTTCACTTGAAGGAAAAAGGTGTAGGAAATGAGTAGATAAGAGCATACCGCATGACGTTATTCCTAATTTTACCTTAACGCGCAGCTCAAGAATGTAAAGGCTCGTCTACAATAGCTGTAAGAGTAAGGCTGTAAGGTAAGCTGTCAGCGAATGAAAATATTTCATTTCGTGTCTTGCAACCTTACAGCTAATGTAGACGAGCCTTAACACGGCGAACATGACTTATCGGTGACGAGTTTATTCCTTTGCGCGCCTGAGACCCGGCGTTACATGTGAAGTCTTGAGAATCACTCAATTAGAAAGTGTATGTTTTCTCTCTCTTTCTCGTAAGATTTAAAGAGATTAGCCTCTTTAGGAATGAGTTTATTAAAGCCGCAAAGGAATAATTTAAAGTGATATAAATAAGACATCTCCATTACATAATTACATGGTAGAATCTCTCTTTTTATCAGAGAATTGCGTACCACAATATTTATTATATTTTGATTAATAATATCTGGATTTACAGTAAAATATTAATGTATTTAAATCTATATACATCCTGAATGAGAATGATTATGATGATTTCTGCCGATTTTCTCTTCATTTATATTTAAATGTTGAATCCAAACTTAAATTTCTATCAACTTCTATCTATCAATGCTCACAAACATACAATCGCTTCCTTTTCGTCCTTTTTTTAATTTTCAAATTCTGTCAAAATTTCCAACACTAATAAAATATAGTATCAAATTACGGAAAAGGAAAATTTATCATTTCGTTATTTTTATTTATTAATTTTTAAGCCTCTCAGCGTACGGAAACAATAGCTAATAACAAACACTACTATTTGCAGTATAATTAATATAGAGCTAACATTCAACTTGGGATGTGGTAGTATTTTTGAAGAGGCTAAAGTTTGAACAATGTGAATGTATATACAGGCACATGCGTTGGTATAAACGACAATACTAAAAAGGTATTATATATATATAACATTTAAGGATATAAATATTTCTACATAATTCTGTGCTGTTTAATTGTTCAATCTCAATATTTGACACTTTTTGATGACTAAACCTTGAATTGAGATTATATAAAAATCTATTGAATATGGAACGATGAATAATATTTTGTCACATACTTTTGTCCGCGAAATTCTATTCGTGAAAAAGTCTGCGTTTTATTGTCACGTTACTCTAAACCTGGATTTGAGAGTCTTGTTTTTACACTAGTACTTTAACTGTTCTGTTGCAAACAAAACATTTGAGATACTCGGAGTAACGGTACATATATTCACTTACCGCTTACTTTGGGACATCGTGTACTCTGCCGCGGAATATTTGTGGTATCGTTTCTCGCTGATTTTAAAAATGCGACGGGTAAACATTCCGCTGAAATTACGCCGCAATGAACGCTAGGTACGGAAAAAGTCGCGGCGGTTAAAATCGCCCATGAGTCTTAACGGTTTTGCGTTCGGACGTTCATACTTTGCGATTCGAATAGTTTGTATCGATTTTGCTTTAATTAAAATATCGAAGCGTCAATAAACTTCGGAATAAACCGATAGAACACGAAACTGCGAACGGAACTTGGCGACTGAAAGGACATTCGGCAACAAAACCTTATTATTCATCCGAATGGACTTTAATCTCACAAAGCTTAAAGTCAGCATCATAGAATAATCATAGGAATATAGGGACAAAGCATGAAGTTGCGGGGGGATAACCCCCCGCAACTCCATGCCCATTGCGGGACGGTGCGACGAGGTAAACTGTGTCTAAATCTAATTGGTGGTTGTGCCGTATGTAAGTATTTGATACATGCATAGATGTATATGAAGTTGTGTGTGAGTGAAATTATGAAAAAAAGACACATGCATAACCTCTGCAAAATACTGTCAGTGTGATTCTTATCAGAAATGGTTCTTATCATTTTGTTACATTTACTATTTGCCAGTGACAGCCAAGTTGTTGCATCATACGCTCTGAATATGCGCACTATTGTAGCCAATGAAACTTAGGCACAGTCGCCCCCCGCATTTCAGCACAACTCCCCTCGCCTATCTTATGGGCTTATGCTCTGTCCCTATATTCCTATGTCTATGGTCAGCATTCGCTTATTGAGATGGTTGATGTTGAATGTTACAAAGTTGCGACGGATGGGACGATCTCCCGAGATTTCTTCTCCAAAACGAATTTATCGAAGCGTCTGTCATTAATTTAGTTTTGGTCGCAAAATGCAGGGAATATACGCGGGAGGGAGGGAAATATAAATATCCAAGTGCCCGTCATAAATACACAGACGCGACGTTGGTAGGAAATTTCATTCTCGATAATATGATAATTTGAGAAAAAAGTTTAATACGTCTCTCCAAACTGAAATGGTATGCGTTTCCTGGCGCGACCCGTGAGCAGTATTTAGCAGTTAAGGGGAGAATTATATGCGGAGGCCGTTTTCAAAATTATTTTTACGAATTTTTTTAACAGAAATGGTAAGATCAATGGACTTGAAATTTTCACAGTATTCATTTAATGTTCACAGTGTTCATTTAATGTTCAAAGTATAAAATAAATTTTATTGAATCATAAAAAAACCGATTCAATTTGTAATTGTAGATAAAAGTGCAGTCATCCGTTTGCGAGCTCTATGTTTGCTGTCGATATAATTCCGGGCCTCTCTCACTACTCTGAAACCAAAAACTGAGAAATATTTTTAAAATATAGCGGTTGCCATTATAGCACGTACTAAAATGAAGGTAGTGCAGCCAAGTTTGGAAAAATGACTGTACAAAAAAGAAGTATCGAAAATGAAACTTTCATCAACTTGTAATCATGTTTAAAAAGAAATGAATAAAATACAATATAATGTTCAAGGTAGGGGAGAAAGCTACATGTCTATTGTATATTGTGTAAAAATTTCAAGCTCTTCGGTTCAGTAGTTTTTGCGTAATCGTGTCGATAGTTTAAAAAAATGGTGTTTCCAGATAAACGCGTTTAAAATTTTGCGTGTATTTTCGATATAGATAGTAACAAATTTATTTTATACTTTGAACATTAATGAATATACTGTGAAAATTTCAAGTCGATTGATCCTACCGTTTCTGTTAAAAAAATTCGTAAAAATAACTTTGTAAACGGCCTGCTCCACGTGTAATTCTTCCCTTAAGGGTCAGATTGCTGAAAAATCGCGCTTGTTTTTGATAATATTTTGTGACGAACTGAATAAATGTGCAAGAATGAAAATTTTAGTTATAGTTATACAACATATGAAGAGTAGAGAAATTTTATTTATTAACAAATACTCGTATAAATATACGATATATATAGCTGAAATATACTCTTCTTTTTTTCTTTTTCAAGTTATCGTTTTTGCAGTAATATCTCGGCTCTCGG